CAATTAATACCTGTTTACTTGAGGACATGAAGGGACCAACCCGGAGGATTGGAAAAGGTTGATTGGCTGGCTTGATATTGTGTGGCATCCACCACCTTAGTCGGAACAGTAAATTAAACAAGCCACGGTTGGCCCCACTGGTCCCTAGGTAATCTTGCAGATGACGGGTAGCCCCTTGACCCTCGGCCCTGTCGTTCGACGAGAGGAGTGATAACTCTCAAACGAAAGTTCAGCAATCAGTACGACTGTAATTCTGACGGCCCTTTCCTGTGCTTTGCACAAGTTCAAAGAGCTGTGGAACTTTCCATGCTCTGTAATATAAAGTTGAATGTGCGCTAATAGTCTTACACCCAGTATCACAGTTACTTCAGCAGTGTCGCCATCCGCCTCAGGATCCATTATAGGGAGCAGCGCGGGTTCTGGCTGTGGGGGTAATAATAGTGATGATAATGTCGGTCCGCTGGCGAATTTAGATAGCATCTAGAATCGCGTCTTGCTACATGATTGTGGTTCTGGTCCGACAGATCAACAAGCCCTAATTTCGCAGTAGATCATCAGAATCATCAGATCGCGAACAAGTCTTATGTAGATAGGTGCTACTAGTAGGGCTCATCCACCAAGGAGGGGTACACCTGTTAAAGAAGCAATTGGATCTGATTGTAGATGACTTGAAACGAACCAAGAATGCTCTTCAGAGGCATGATTGGAGGGCTATTGTAATGAAGTACGGAGTACCCCCTACCTTAACATACTAAATACTATTTTAAAGGTCAAGAGTGAGTCTAGAACCTATCCCTGAAGATTCAAGTATTTGGTTCAAGGAGAAACAGGAACCCAGGTCATGTACGACCAGCTGGTTCGGGAGACAATTGGTAGCCATGTGTACACACAACAAGTGATAAATGATACGTCAATACATACTAGAGTACATGTCGAGGTGTCCGCGGGCCCCTTACGGAGCTAAAGTCACGGCAAGTAGGCGACTCGTAATAAGAAGAACAGCGGAGCGGTGACTAGGTAGAATTAACCTTACGAATCGGACAAATCAATGACGATGTACAATCCATTCTAGTCCTAGGCAGTCAGTAGGCACAAATATTATCATTATTGCGTGGCCGCTGGCCAGAACAATTCTATGTTTTCAGCTGCTTGGTCGATACTTGCCTATAAAGGAAAGGGTGTTCGTCTCCGCCGTTAGGCTAAGTGCTTGGAGAATGGAGATCCATCGCAGGGGCTCGGGTCCGGCTTACCAGAAGTTAGAAACTTAGAAATAATCAGAAAGCCGTTGAGATGTGAACTTGATCGTCTACCTTCGAAACGGTATCGGCCTGACGCTGGCAAAAATATACAATGTTCTCAATATTGTTGCCTGTCAGCAAAAGCAGTTAATGCTCAAGATCTCTCCATGTTATCATACATTAATTTCCACATTGGATTAGTTGTACCCTTTGCCCTCAGTCTGTTGACTTTATTTGACTATCCGTATCTGCAAGACTCATCATTGAACATAAACAGCCCGTCCGTCACAGATGCACGATTGTCAGTACTACCACCATAGTCAATCAGCCAATTATTCAAGACTCGAAGTAGAAAGATTTTTTTGGGGCAAAAGCAGGACGATGAGGTTTGTCAGGTAGGAAATAAAGCAAGATAGAGACATAAAGGGAAGATACTGGATAAGATAAAAAGAGGGGAAAAGAACAGATAATTTAATAGGTAGGAATTTTATTCAAAAAATTAAAGGGTAATCACTAACGTTCTGGTTCGCATACTGGGGTTCCTGGTATGTAGTTCAAGTCTAAGGACAGAAAGGGCTTAGACTCGCTTCTCTTTTACTTAGGTCGCCTATGGTCCTCTAGTGCCCCTCTTATTTCCCCTCGTTTTATCTTTGTCATGAATAATCTCATCGTCAGATCTCCAATCGAGTCTTCATATGTGCGGAAAGCGTCTCAAGGTGGGATTATCAAGAAATAAAGGTCAATGACGTGCTCGAATCGACGGAGCACAGAGATGCTTAGCCCTTCAAAGCGTCGTCGATAGTCCCGTCCCATGCAGACGGAAGATAACTTGATCGTTTCATTCTCAAGCTGACTGATGGCTGCTGTAATCACTTTCTGTCTTTGCGAACATGCTAAACATCCATCAAATGTTTAAACCCAGTCTTCCAAACCAAACACACGGGCTCGAACGTTCTGAGAGGTTTGACCGCCAGAGAAGGCTTTGATTAAAGTATCTAGTACCCTGGGTGGGGAACCCGTTAGAAGAGTCGGGAGTACTGTTAGTGTTAAGAGACTGGGTACCAAGTAATAATAAAAATATTAGAATAATCAGAGAAATTAGCAATGAACCCTTCTACCTACCACATCCATGTCCACGAATTGCTCCTCAAAATGAAAGGCACTCCTGGAGGATACGGAACAGAAACCCTTCTACAGTGCTAGCATGGATCTGAGTGTTGGTATAGGAAGTGAAGGTACAGGACCTATAACCTAGGTACCTGAATAGACCCCATGTTGCGCCGTAATTAGGTATACATATAATCTTACCACCGTTGGTAAACATAGGTAACAAACACCAAGAAATAATAACAATCTTACACTAACGGTAAAATAATAAAATAAAAATCATTATTATTATTAAAATCATCATCAAACTTAGGTAGACGAACAACAACGGGGCCTGCTCGAACCCACCTCACCACTGAAACCTGTTAATCGCCTCCGTGCTAAGGTAGGTAGTCTCGTAATCTGTTACTGGTAGGGTCATAGGCTCATAGGTCTACCTACCTTGTACTCCTGTGTCGTAGGAAGGTAGTAAGTAGTAGTAGCTACCTTAGTTAAATTACTACTATAGCTTGCAAAGCCTCTAATTTGCTGTCTCCCAACTGCTGGATCAGCTGTCAACGATGATGATCTCTTCCTATGCATCTCAAGTTGTTTCATCCTTCCTTTCGCATCTCCCTCCTTTTCTTTTGACCTTTTTGTCTTTTATTCCTCTTCTTCTGCTTTCTCCCTCGTGATCCCGTATTTCCCTTCTTATCTTCTCGTTGGCATTATCTTATGCGATAACTTCGACTGTCTTCTACTCTTATACTATCCTTCCCAGACCCTCTTCATTCGGTGAAGACTCTCATCTGATACTATACTCGAATCGTCACATAAAGACTCATTCTACCATTGACACATTCTTACGTCCATTCTTTCATCTGTTAGGAGGTCTCACTTGGTTACTACTACACAATATTCCATTTCTCAAAATCTTCGCCTTTCCGTCCAGTGTTGTGATATTGTCATTATCTCCGTCTTGTCAACTTTGCGCTATTTGGTAGTTTACCTTGCAAACGTCACACGGCTAAACTGTGCCATCTATCCATCTTTGCTAGAACCTTGGAGCTAGCAGGGTAAGAAAGCTTGCTAGACTGATTGTCTGTCGCAAATTGTCTTTGTTTCGGGAGGAATTCTGCTTCGTCAGTCAACTTTGATATCATCCTAGACTATCTTTCCTTCTTTGCTCTTTCTGGGTGTACCGATCGACGAACACATCGAAGGTAACCTTATCTGGCCAGTCAGCCAGGTCATCAGGGATTCTTTTCCTCGATTGCATATGCATTCTTTTGGCTCATAGCCCACAACCATTACAGGCTGAGTCTCCATTGCGAGTCGCGCATATGATTGCGTTACAAAACCAGGCTTTCTACCCTCCTGCCAAAGTGGATATCTCACTGCTTCTGAAGCCCCAAGATGAGGAGGAAGCCGCCTCGGTGACTACTACGTCCGCGTTCCCTTCGAGGACCCTCCCTCCAGCTTCCATAGGCCCAGCGATGCCTGTCGCAACCTCCACGCCTTTGTCAACCGCGCCGCCTCTTACCGCAAAAGCCCCAGCATCCGTCCCTGCCAAGCGCCTGCAGCCAGCCCATACAGCAGAGTCTCCGGCCAAGAAGCAATCGAAGTGGTCCCCCGAGGAAGATGCACTCATTATAGAGTTGCGGGGTAGTGGCATGAAGTGGGAGGACATCAGTAAACGGCTCCCGGGGCGAAGCGCTATCAGCTGCCGTCTGCATTATCAGAATTATTTGGAACGCCGAAGCGAGTGGGACGAGGACAAGAAGAACAAGCTTGCAAGACTGTACGAGAGGTGCGTTTCTGAAGAGACTGGCTCTGTCTACTCAGGCGGAGAAAATCTGATTTCGGAGAAAACAATGAGATGGGAACTTGATTTGCTGACTAGGACAACGTAAAGGTTCAAGGCAGAGATGTGGTCGAAAGTCGCAGAAGAGATGGCCATCCCATGGAGAGCCGCGGAGGCTATGCATTGGCAGCTAGGGGAGCAAGAAATGGCACGCCGGGCTGGCGTAGTCCCATTTTCGTTATCGAGTTCAGCCATAGATCCGCCAGCGACCAGGGTTCGCAGGGCCAGTACATCGTTATCTCGCCCAAGAAAAGGGTCCGCATCACGTACTATTCCTCCGCCCCAACTTCCGTCAGTTGAAGAACTTACTGCCGGTGTCCCTGCGTATGCGCCAGCCCCGCCGTTTCCCTTACCGCGAGATGCCTATCAATTTGGTCGTCCTCTGGACTTGAGCGGCAGCCATAGTGGCCATTTAGGACCTCCCTATGGTTTGCCACCTCGAACGCTGCCATAGCGGAATCGAAATGATCTGAAAGTCTCCTTTCCCCCCCCTTTTTTTTTCCCTTTTCTGATATTTTCTTTCCCTTTGCTTTGATTTCCGTGTTGTTATGACATGCATAGCGCAGGTTGAAGGTGTTCCTCACTATTTGTGAGGGGAGTTCTCATAGAAATGATCTCCGTGATCCCCTGGCTTTCTGTTACTGAGCGTTTCCAGGAGGCTTTCAACTCGACGAATTCTCTTTTGTCATCACCACCATTTATGGTGGACGTTATATGCAATTTACATGAACAGAAAAGGGGGGTATGCAAGGAAGAGGCTTCGAGGCTGGTTCTCGAAGTCCCACGTTACATCGATCAAGCACGACTGTCTTCTACTCATCTGATCGTGTCGCAATCGCCCACCAGTTGTCTTTTTCATAGCCTGAATCCAGAACACGACCGCCTGCTCTCTCAATGTCGCGTTCCAGTTCTGTTGCCTCATAGAGGTGATAATATCGGTGGAAAGTCTTCGGCTCATCGTCAGGGCTACCATTGGCAGGCTTGGACTTCAAGACCCAGGGAACCATTACGTCCTGTTTGTCGCCTTTGTCCCAACCCCTGCGGCTGGTCTTTTGTTCCAAAGCCCAGACATACAGCAGGACTCTGCCTCCGGAAGATTTAATAGAGGCAGGTTTCAAAGTGCGGAGTATTTCGTGGATAGCCTGAATTCTTCTTTCAGGTGTGGACAGATGGTGTACAACAGCAATTGAGATGGCGAAATCGAATAATGAATCTGGATGTGGCAGATTCAGGATGTCCGCCACGATAGCTGAATGGGGCTGGTGTTTGACGGCGATCCGGGCGAGATTCTCGGAGCTGGCTGGCGTTAGCTATTGATCGTTGAATGCGCCAGAGGACGAGACATTGCGAAAGGAAGTGACAATGAATGAACAAATATATACACAAGATTTGGAACGAATATCGCCCAGAGCATTCTACAAACACATTCATGAAGTAGCAAGTAGCAGAACATCTGATAAAGACCTACCGATCCGAGGCGACTATAAAGACGTCCTTATTTACAGACAAGTACTTGCCATTGCCGCACCCCACATCAAGACCAATGGACCCTGGTGCCAACCCTTTGAGGAAGCGTTCCACAATCGGCCATGGCTATTAGACAGATAGGGAGCGCGTTCAGTATCAGTTTAGGAATGTACCGGTAACAAGTAGAGCATGCTACACACCTTGTAACGGGTCGAGGAGAAGTGTTCTGCTATCTGTTGATACACTTCATGTACATTTTTCTCTTCATAGGCCTCTCCATCGGGCAGATTTCTTGCAGAATTGGGCAATGATGACGATGCCATTTCAATTGGGTTCTGCTCTTGTTGCGACAGGTTCGAATTAAGAATCCTCACATGCAAAATCGGAAGGGAGCAGGATTTTCGTATCCTGTCTCGTTGCAGCAGGGGTACACACAGTTATAGTAAGAGAATATAGAGTATCATTAATTGAGGTGCATCTGCAGATTGTGCCGCCAAGACGCGCAGTTCTGGTAATTCAGATTTCAAACCAAGCGGTAATTTTCTGGCCCCCATCAAGTAAGGTAAGAATAAGGTTGTGTGCTGGCCTTGCTGCTGATGCGCCTTTCGGAGAATTTCTGAATCAGCAGCTGCTGTCAGACTGATGGTAGCTACGTACCTTATCTTTTTGCGTAGCGGACTAATAGTAGTAGTCTGTAGTGTTGCGTGCAAAGTCCTAGAATTAAATCCTTCCCACTTTCTTTGACCCCAGTGCCTTAAAGCAGATCAATCCATGCAACTGCATCCATGATATACAACTTTTCGAATAACCAGAGGCCGGAGATTTCATATTCCTGTCTCGGACAAGCTCAACTGTAGCTAGTTCATCGTAGATCAGGTAGATATGGACTTACTTCGTACATGGCGTATGGATTGGAAGGGCTTGGCTAGTAAAGTCATTCATTGAGCGAGGATGTATGAGAGTATGGCCCATGTCATCAGCCCCAACCTCAAGTGGTCAATACGTATACGGTTGATCGATTAATGTATCTAAGAGTTTCTCATTAAAATCTACGAGAGCTCGAGATAACTCAGTCTGGTCGTACAGTTCATCTGATAGTTCTGGGTCAATCCCGACGGTCACCATACACATTGTAGCCTGAGGCACACACTCACGCCTTAAGGTGGCCAAGAAATGGAACAATCGAGTTGGGCTCCACGTGCTTTCTGTGCACCATTTTGGAGTCGAAACACCAGACACAGCTCGATATGGTCGAAGTGCGAATTCTCTAATCCTGGTGAAATATATTAAACGTTTGTGAGTGACTTGAAATCCCATTGTCGGTCCCTGTCCTCGCCTTGTCCCTCAACGAAGACCTGGTACGTAGGGGATCAAGCCCTTGGTCGCTCTGAAGCCTATTGTTTGGTTCCTGTGTAGCGATACCTTTCATTATCTTGACATATCTCTGGCACTCTACGAGAATAACTCGCTCTTTGTCTCTTGCTCGAGCATCAGGAAGTTTTCTCCTTCCAAGTCTTTATGATTCTCATGGCTTTATATGTTCGCGTTGCCTGCAATTCGCCTGCCACCATGTGACAAATAGGCATATACCATGACTTCAATTTGGATTCCTTCATTGTAGAACGCTTATAGAACTCAGACATTGGCTGACCTCCATTCATAGCCGATCTGCACCAATCACATTAATGATGGCATTCCAGCCCTCGCCGACAGATGTCTCCGTCATCATCACCACGCCCAGTACGGCAACTGGTTCCGAACCGCGCTTCCTGACGGAGCGTCGTGTCACTCCGACATGGACTGTCCTGCAGCTGAAATCTAAGCTGGAGACGATGACTGGCATCCCCACGAGCAGCCAACGTCTACTACTGAAGGCACCCGGACGTGCTGATCAGTGGGTAGATGGAGATGACAGTATCATCGGCAACTGGGGTCTCATGAAGGGCTGTGAGATTGAGGTATGCGTCGTCTTTCCATCTACCTCTTTCCCAATCCAACAATTTCGTCCCATGTAAACGCTCGGACTTGGACGGTCCCGGTTATACATAGTTCATCTTGAATGGCCAGTCTGTCAGGTGCTGACGACCATAACTCAATGCTTCTTGACTTGTTTGTCTCACCTCCAGGTCGGGATCCCAGCCAGCTTCAGATGAACGCAACACCATGGGGTCGGCCTCAAGTGGCTGTCTAGATGCCTGTCAGCTGGTGACTAGCTATTTCCTCAGAGCAAGCAGCCGACCAGCACATTCTATTGATATTGGCTGAATGATCGCATCATTTCATAGGTTCACGATACGCGCCCTCAAGCCGCACGGCCTAATTTCAACGATTTGTCCTCTGTGGAGAAATATGTCCTCCCCTCAGCCACGTATGAGTCGCTTCCAAACTCGGTTCTAGCCTGGAAAAAGAACCAGAAACTCGGTAGATTCGACCCAAAAGCTCTGTCACCGAAGGAGTCGATGCAAAAGCAGGCAGAGAAAGATAGCGAGGATGTTCGCGTTCGGAGTAAGTCATGAAGAAATGGCGATACCCAGCCATAAAGAAGAATATTCAGATCATGTACTGATCGAGGAATGGCAGGCATCGCCGTCTCCCGACGTGCTATTATTCTTCCGTCATCGCCCCCACACGTTAGGCGAGGCACAATACGCTATGTTGGGCCAGTGCCTACGATACCTTTCACTGGTGTGGACGTCACATCCCAAGAAACTTCCAACTCTGGCCCCCAACCTATCTGGGTAGGAATCGAACTCGACGAGCCTACTGGAAAGAACGACGGTAGCGTAGGTGGCAGACGCTATTTTACTTGTCCCAACAATACGGGCGTCTTTGTGAAACCCGAGAAGGTGGAAGTGGGAGACTTTCCCCCATTGGATCTGTTTGATGACCTGGACGATGAAATGGAGGAAATATGAAAATGCTTTCCTTATCTCAGCCGAGCAAGTAGTCCAGCAGGAAGAGAATCACAGAAACAGAGACAGTGGGGATGGAAAAGCTAGCATCGATCTGGCACAATAAGTTTCTATTCAAGACAATATATCCAGTTATACCAAGCTCCCGCTCGCAATCATTGTGCTCATTCGCCGGCAAATAAGAGATGGACTGAGAAGGAAAGGGGGGAAGAATCTCGCAGAATAAACCCGAACACCGCCGTTCCAGTACCCCATGCTGGTGAATCGCTACACTGAAAAAGACCAAAACCACGAAATGAATACAAACACCCAATATGGAAGAAAGCTTCTGCAGCATTTCAACTGGAAAAAAAGGAGCAAGTAGGAAAGTGCACTGCGAACTTGCTCGCAGTCGGTCCCGTCCCACAGGAGGGACCGAAACCGTCGGGAAAGAAAAAGGATCATGAAGCTTTAGATCCACTTCCTGCCTTTTGCTTGCCTTTCGGCCTGCCTTTACCGGTACCGCTTGGGCGACCCCTTTGAGTTGTTGACTCGTCCTCAGTTGTGACAGCTGGCTTGGAAGCTGACCCGGGGCTGGACTGATCATTCTCCACCGGAACACAGCCTTGCGTAAAGAAGAGCCGAGCATCCTTCCCATGCGTGTTCGCAAAGCTGTAATAATTGCCTGCAACCCAGAAAAACGCTAATCAGCATGCGCAATGACAATTCAAAGGAGCTAGACACAAGGCGAGCGCGTCCTGAAGAGACTCCCTTACCTCTTGGCACCTGAAATACGCAGCCCTTTCCGGCGCTGAATTGCACGCCGGATATATCTACCTGGACCCGTCCGTGACACACGTAAAAGACCATATGCATCTTCTTCGAGTTCTTGGGTTTCTTAACACCACCTGGGGGCAGTTCGACGATCCCAGAGCCGATGAACGGGGAGCTCAACAGCTTAGCAAAGCGGAAGGTGGAGTCTTTGACATCTCTCGTCTCAATACCGGACGGAGCATAGGCAATATCTACAATTACCCTGGGTCAGCGTATTCAACAGCCAGGCGACCAGAGGAAAAGGCAAGCATTCAAAAGTACTTACCGAGGACCTCCTCTTCGATGGAACCGGCTTGGGTATCAGGATCCCATTTCCTAACATAACCATGCAAGACGCCGCCTTCTTTCTCCCACGGGTCGACGTAATCGTCGTCTTCATTGTCCGAATCATCGTCTCGGCTCTTCCGCGATTTGGATTTCTTGGATGACCGCCGTTTACTGACTTTCCTCTTCTCCGGTTCCAGTTCCTCTGTTCTGATGATCTCTTTGATAGTCGAAAGCGGATAGCGCTGGCCTTCGGCGGCCTCGCCGTCTCCATAAACGCACCTCTCATTTTTCCAGTAGGCAAGCGGTCTAACAGAAACTCGCCCCGATCGAGTGTGGGTTGCGCTGCCATCAGTGGGTATTTCCCGCTTCAGTATGTATAGGCTTCGACCCTTTAGGGGCCCCGTACGATTGACATAATTTTCCACAACTTTGTCTAATTCTGGATTTCCGGAGCTCTTCACCCCCCGTCCAGTCTGACTGGCAGTCTTCGATTTCTTGGAAGGTCGTTGTTCCACGATATCCTCATCATCACTGTTCCTTCTTTGCGATTTTGGGGGTCTCCCAGGGCGCTTTCGTTTCTGTACATTTCCTTGCTCGCTCGTCTCATTTTGCTGCGTGACTTCTTGGGCCCGAGTTTTCTCAGATTGTGCACGTTTCTTAGGCTTGGGGACGACTCTTGATCGCTCTGTTTTGCGCGAACCGGCAGCTGTGTACGAGGAAATCTCCACGCCGACACCATCAATGCGCTCAGACTCATCCTGTTGATCTTCCGCCAGAGTGTCGTCGCCAGCGTTGAAACTGTCGTCGTAAGTGTTTCGCATTTGCTCAAATGCATTCGCATTTTCGTCTCCGTTCATTTGACTATTAGCGTCACTGTCTGAGAAGTCAACTGTGACCGTGGTTTCTGCCGTCTTGTTGATTCCTTTATTATTCCGCAGGCCATTGACATGGTTTAGAGAGGGCGCGTTGATGGAACGGTTGGTAAGAGGGGATACGTCACGCCGTGTTTCCCCCTTAGCACTCCCCAGCCCCTTACCATCTGACGGACTGGAAGAGAGAATGTCACGTTGCGGGCTTGCAGAGGATCGCAAGCCGGGAGTCCGCCGCGGTGATCCACTCAAGCCGGATTTCAAGGGAGATCGCGCAACCGGGGGGGGGAGGAAGGATGCGCGCCCCCCGTTCGTTCCGTTCAAGAAGTCAGCGGGCCCAAGCCCATTGCCTGTGACCAGGCAGAAGATCAGTATGGTCGTGGACATATCAGAAGAAATGAATCACACACCTTCATCCATGGACATTCCATCTGATCCAATCGTAGTGTTGTTGCCATATGCTCCTTCAGGTGACTTTTCGGGAGACGAGAAAATCCCATCAATCTCCTCCATTCCATGCTCGTCGCGCTTGCCTTCTTTTAAGGTAACTCCCGTTCGTCTACATCCCGTGCCATGGTCAGGGTTCCCTTGCCGAAATGACGGAGGATTCCTAAGGAGACATGCCCCTGCATTACTTACCTCCCAGCTTTACCGACGTTAGAATAGTCATAGTCGCGAGTTTTCGCAGGCCCCCGAGGAGCCATCGTTTGCGGAGTTTAGGAGTAGTGGTGCGGGAAACAGTTTCACCGAATTATTGGAGCGATGTACGGGGCCAGCAGCGTCCGATGCCAGAATCTCTGTGCCGTGAAGCTTTGCGAGGAGGACGATGTATCTCATGTAGGGAACACCCTGTGCCTCGTGCACTAATAGGATGTTGAGAGAAGGGAATTCAATCGTCGGGCAAGAGTAAAGATGATGGTTGCTTGGGAGGGGAATTGCATTGGAATTCATGATGGGCGGCGAACAACGCGCGGAAGTGCCGCTAGTCCGGAACGGTTCTTGACGCGTCCAAAACTCCCAAAGTGCAGCCGCCAGGCCATACAACCATGTGAGTGTCTTCCAACATTTGCTGCTGAATTAATCTAAATCTGCCTCTTCTTGAGCTTCTTCTTTCTTCTAGACTTCGGACCTGCTGCGAGTATGGAAGAATCTGGCCTGAGTGTCGCCGATGCTCCGGCTGCATCTACCTCCGCGGGCTCTTTCATCCCTCCCAGTATAGATACCGCTCGACTGCTATCTGGAGAGTCCTACGCTTACTATTCATCATTTCCTCCCGCAAGTACAGAAGGGTCTTCGCAGGCCACTGGCGACCATCACACGACCACAGCGGATTCTTCCCCGCCATCCGCATCCCGGTCATCAAGTTATTTTGTACTGGGCGTCGACGAAGCGGGACGTGGTCCAGTTTTGGGTCCCATGGTATACAGTGCCTTTTATATTCCGCATACTCTCCATCACTCCCTCCTGGCTCGCGACTATAGCTTCAACGATAGTAAAGTTCTCACTCCCGGTGTGCGCGCTAACTTGATGCGCCTGCTCTGCACTGCTGGAAATCCTCTCCATGCCTCGTGTGGGTGGGCGACCAAAGTCTTATCTGCGCGGGATATCTCGGCAGGCATGATGCGGCCTGCATCTGGTGCGTATAATTTGAACGCACAGGCGATGGATGCCACGGTTGAAATAATACGCGGCATTGTGGAGGAGCGCAGAGTAGACATTAGAGAGGTCTACATTGACACAATCGGGAATCCAGCGACCTATCAACAGAAACTGGAGCGCATTTTCCCTACATTGAAGATTACAGTCGCGAAGAAAGCCGACTCTCTATACCCTTGCGTAAGCGCTGCGAGTGTGGTCGCCAAAGTCACGAGGGATGTGGCACTGGAGTTCTGCCATGAGGCCGTCTACGGACTTCAGCGATCTGAAGCGCCATCGCTGGGGGTGACCACAGACAGCTGGGGAAGCGGGTATCCTTCAGATTCCAAGTGCGTCAGCTGGCTCAGAAACCATATGGACCCCGTTTTTGGATGGGGCAACGAGTGCCGATTTAGCTGGGGAACTGCAAAAGAAATGCTTGAACTCAAGGGTGGAACTAGAGTCGATTGGCCGGTCGAAGAGGAGGGCACTGCACCGATCAAGGACTTTCTGCTTACCACCGCAAGAACTGCAAAGAGAACTGAGCAGGATGAGTTGCGGGAATGGTTTGGTCGCCGATCAATGGAGGTGCTTTGAAAAGGACCCGCCCATCCTTTTGGCTTCAGGAGGAAAGAATGGTGAATGTTATGATACCCCGGTTGAATCAGATTCTAAACATGTAAAGGCAATTCACAAAGAACAAAAAATCCAGTAGTGACCACAAATGTCCCATGGGTATCTCCTTGAAAAACTCCTTGTGAAGCACACATCACACATCAACTGAGACTTTCCAAAACGCCGAATCATCATCGCGATTCAGGTGAACAAGAAGATTACACTAGCAGCCATTCATCTTGTAAATCATGGACCTGCATGGCCTTTAAGACACAATCGGAAACCGATCTGAGGAAGGGCAAGAACGGAGTAAAAGACAGGAATACGTAATGAAAGAGTGAGACTTCACAGCGTTGCAGTAGAGAAATAGAAGTTCTCCCATAAGTATTCATAGTCTTCGATGACGCTCCCCACCAGATCAAGTAGTGGTTTACCTTTCATCTTGCCCGTCAACCCCTTTAGCCAAGACCTAATCAGAGTCAGCTCGTCGTTCCCTTCAGCTCAAGTCAAAGGCTAGGGATTGCATACTTGGTAATGTTCTCATAGAATGCACCGCGCATGAGCCACCAGCCCATGGCCCAGCCTCGCTTTCTCAGTTCCTCGCGTTCAAGCCCTGTGAGGCCCCGAAGGCCTCCTGCCACCCGCTCGCGGAAATCAGACTTGGCAAGTTGACGACAACCATACTCCATAGCAAAGCCAATCAACCAGGGCCTCCAGCTTCTCTTGTCGCGCCGCCATCTTTGCAGCGCTAGTGCATAGATGACCGGCCGCAGGATGTATAGCACTTCTGCTAACTGGCCCTGACCACTGACACGGTGCAAAAGAGCCTTCGGCGGCTTGATGTCGTCGGCTGTTAAGACTTTGGATATGAGGAAGTTGGAAATGTCGTTGGCATCAGGAAGAGAAGGAAGCGATAATCCAGTACGCGGCATAGTCCAGCTCAAGTCCGCGGACCGCTCACTGACGGGTGTCTGCATCCCATTCCAATCACTCTCTTCTTCCTCCGTAGACCTAGGATCTACCTCGCGCTCAGGTAACGGTGGGCTGACCAGCGGCCTAGAATTTGTGAGGCGCAGCAGAAGCAGGCGACATGTCGCTTTGATGATTTCGATGAGAACAACAACGCGCCAGCGTACTTTTTCACCTCGACGCCGCGCGATCATCTCCCAGAGTAATTCGGTGTATCGTACCATCTGAAGCGTAAGAGCCACCTGATGATAAAGAGCCGAATGAGATATCCAATATTTTGTATACCGAGAATGAGGCGTTGGTGCTGGCCGCGGAATTGTTGAAGGAAGTCTCGCAACGACCCGGGAGACGAGGCTATCATGATAGAGCGAAAGGAGCTGAACACCAGAATGGACTGCTCAAAGAGGACAGACTTGTGAGTATATGGATATCTGCTAAGATGTTTCGATTGTATACAGACCACATTCTGATGATATCTCGGAGTCTCGATACCGCCCTAGAGCAGATTAGCTTCCATCCGCAGTCGATGAGAAGGCGCTCGGGGGCGCTTCCGCGCAGTCCTCACCAGGAATAATATATGTGAGAGATCTCAATGCAGACTCGACTTGACCCACAGAGCTAGCATTCTTCGTCACAAAGTCTTCATACAGCGTAAGCCATTTCGACGGCTGCAACAATGTTGCAGATACCAGACTACGACTCTTCCAGTCTGAATCCATCGATGATGAAAAAAGCTCCGGAAACGCCGAGCAAGCTACAAGAATATCACGTTTTGCGGAAACAATTGAAGGTTTCGAGGCTGCGAAAAGCGAGTCATTGGGCTGACATCGGTCGCCTCGCTGGATGGTTGTAGGAGTCGAGTCTGGGGTACGGAGTACCCCGGCACGTGTCCGACAAGATGATGCCGAGGTCAATCTTCCATGAGGGCTACGCCGCACTGGTATTATTATTATTACCATTACATTTACATTCATATTACATTAGTGACTAACACATACTCGTTCAAAGGTAGAGGGAACTGAGCAGTAGTACCAGTAACACCGCTCGTGAATTTGCCAGTCACAGCAACATCGTCAGAGTTGGATTGTCATATTGTGCCGAGTCAATCAGCTATTGCAGGATTGCGATTGTTGAAGCGGTTTGCTTACTTGGCTATACCATTATATTCCAATACTTTCTGTTATTAACGTTTCAAGGTCATTCGTCAGCGAATTTCCACATTCCGCCACGCATTGCTTCTCGATACCGCTCCTTCACTTTTTCCCTCTCAAGGTTGTTTGCTTCTTCGCGATCATGTTCCAGCTCTTGTGTGTTAGGCATGTCCGTTCGCCAAAATCCTGGAGGCGTGCTGGGACGCTGATGGTCATGCCTATGCTTACTGTAGAGGTTGGCCATGCGCCTCGCTCTGGCCTCATGGAGGAGGCTCTGACGTTCTTCAGCGCTCAGCTGGTCGAGTAGATGTTTCTCTTCACCGAGGTAGTGCTCCAACATTTTCTGCTCCTCTTCTCCGTCGTTTGAGCCGTCCGTAGTAGTTGGCGGACCAGCAAGACGCGCCATAGCACGGAATTTCTCTCGGCAGCAACCCGGACGCGTGCAGCCACTTATACACTTGCGTTCATCCTTTCTGCGGACAACTGTGTCATACGCGAAGTCCAGCCCTTGATTAACATTCGGGTTGATCTTAAAATGTCTAAGACCGAGTCGGTGGAGCGGTCGAGCTCGAAAAGGTTCGTCTTCCGAGTGTATAGCCATCGTATCAGGAACTCTGAACGAATGTGACCGCGAACCTTCCTGCGGAGAGACTTCTGAGTTTTCCCGGTCCCCGACAGATCTGGAAGGCCTACCAATGGCGGATTCGGTTGGCTCACTGGATTTTGAGGCTTCCTTGACAGCCCCCGAGGCTTGTATGAATGGGTCACGGGAAATGTCCCGTTGGTCAGGCCCGACGTCAGCAATAGTTCCATTCTTCTTCCATATGTGCAATGGATGCCGGGGTCGCAAAGGCCGTTCCAGGAGATCGTCCAGCCGCCGGTGTATCAGTACGTTGTCCATGCTCGTGCTTGCCTGTGTCAACTGGACACGGGATGCCTGCTTCACTTGACCTCTCCTTGGAACGAGCCTCAAACTTTCATCACCATCTTCTGCTACCGAATCTAAGGCGTGTCTGCTACGTCTCTCTGACTTGTTCGGTGGCTTTTGCTCCGACCATATTCGAGGGCCATTTGCGCTTGGCAAATTAGTGTCCACAGGTTGAAGTACTGTAAGCCGCTTTGGAGCCAGCTGGTTCGCCTCCATCTGATGGCGAGTCAACCGTAGAGCCGTTGGATTGCGGGGCAAAGGAGACATGGTAGTGTCTGATGGAAGCTCATGGGACTGGCCGTCCAGATGAGATAATTTTCTTTTCCTCGGCGTTTCGACGGCGCTGCCAACCTCGTCCAGGTCCTGAGTTCCAGCTAGGCCGTTATGTTCAAGGTGAATTCGTATGGGGCTAGAGGACATGCTCTCGCTCTTTATCAGAACGGGTTGCGCCAACTGGTCGTTCGCCCGAGTGTCGCGAAGGCCGGGCCTAGTCGAAGCATGGTCTGTAACTGAATCACGCTTTCTTTTCAATGCCCCAGCTTTCGATTCTGTCGAAAGTTCGGGGAGTCCAGGAGTTGAAGCGGCTTCGTCGCTGTCTATTGAACTTTCCGACTGTGTTGACGCTGGCTCCATGGCAGTAGCAGGCGGCAATCCACCATTGCCTTGTGCATTGTGTTTAGATGCAGTCAAGTCGGACGTTGGAGTTAACTGTATCTGTGCAGAAGCACCTCCAACCTTCGCAGGCAAATCAGTTGGACACAGGGGCGACTTTTTTGAGGGGGTATGTGTCATATCATCTCTAGTATTTTCTGGGACTCGTTTGAATTTGACTGCACGGCCATCAAGTACAAGGGTGAATTGTTCTTTGTTAAGATGAGCACCCCAGTACTGTAACTTTCTTTTATGTCGTTTAATTTTTGCCTTGAGATCTTTGGACGCATCAAACAGCGTCTGGAAATCCTTATAAAGCGCCAGATATTGATCCCAGACGGCCTTCATCCTGTCCGCTGTGAAGCGTCCATCTTCCTGCTCGCCAGTCTCAAATACCCACAGGAGGTGTTCTGGTGAATAGACATCCTTCAACCGGGCCAGGTTTTCCAGTCCCTCAATGTCCTCCAGGCCCACATCGTTTAGACGAATTTCCTCTCTTAGGAGGGAAATCTCGCGGTTGAGCTTCAGAACCTCTGCAGAAACATTGTTTCTGTCTCTACCTGCTAGCTTCTCGTCTAGCTCATTGACGTACTCGTTGCGCCGCGTGAGTTCCGTATGTAAGGATTTATAGGCTTCGTCAAAAAGTCTATCAAAATTTTGAGAGACAGAGGTATGTAGCTGTTTTAAAACTTCCATGAGGGTCGGTCGCAAGTTGCAGTTAAGTTGCCCATCACGTCCATGAGACTCCCAAGGTACTATGTAATTATCGCTTGAATCGCGAATGACGCGTTGCGATACTCTGTGTGGAGTACTATTCCCGTAATAGTCAGCCTCGGCACCTTAAGGTACGGAGCTTGTTAAGTTACTTACCATGTAAGCAAACATGTAAGGTATCGTTATAAAACCGTATTGTTTCATACCATATCGCAGCTGGAATCCTTAGATAAGCGGGCAGTTGTTCCTTTGACGTATCAAAAGCTCATCATGGTTCTCAAAAGCTGCCTCACCACTCTCAATTTCATCAAAATGATGACGAGCCTCTTTGGACGTGGTTGCTTCCATCCGGTATCACTTGTGCCTCTTGAGGACTAGCACACATAATGTCCAAGAGATATCTTGACAATTCCAATACGGATCACCGGCAGCCCAAGCGACCCCGCATAATTCAGGTAGATAGTCAAGATCGCCTGTCTCTACTGAGCGACGAACTACTGCTCCAGATCTTCTCCTTTCTACCCATACCATCGTTACTAATATGTCAAAGGTTTGTTCTTGTCTCTATATTCTCTTAATCGGCCCTTTTTATAATGTTCCGGGCTGGCTGACGCTCTTTTCTAGGGTATCTCGTCGTTTCCATGCACTTGCTGGGGATTCGGAGCTTTGGAAAAGGCAATATTACTCGCGATGGGTTCGACCTCGAGCACGCCGAGTGGCAAACATTCGATATGCTACCCTTTCCGCGTCAAGGGCAACGTACTCGCCACATGTTTCAACTTGGCTGGGCCATGCTCATTTAGCTGAGGAGGGCAAGGTGACGAATTGGAAAGGACAGTATCGCCTTAGGCATAATTGGTCCAAGGGAATCTGTCAAGTAACTGAAGTCGAACTTCCACAACCCGCGCACTCCCCAATGCTGGTCAAGTTTTGCGCGGGCTTTGTCTTCACAGCAGACTCCGAGCATGGGCTGAGGTGTTGGCGGGCTAGCAACCAAATATCATGCTCTGCTAGACTTCCTCTTGTGGAGTCCGAATCAAAAACCTCAGCATTCCCTACAGCATTAGCGGTGAGCCGCTGCTCAAGGCAGAATCTTATCAAAGTAACAGTGGGATTGGCAGACGGCCGCTTCGGCGTCTACGACATGGATACTCAGTCGTTGTGTCTAAGTTTACGCTCTTTCCATTCCGCTTTTGCCGATGGAGCAATCACCGCGATGGCCACATCGAATTCTTACCTATTAATGGTCTCAGAGCACAAGGTTTTATCACTGTATGAGATGTTTCTAGCGGAACCCAAGCCCCCAACTAGATCCAACGTCGCGAATACAAGCAAACAATCCTCAGGGGAAGGTGTGAAACTACTCGCATCTCTCAAGGCAGACAGTATTCTATCCCCGATGTCCTTGTCAGTCCGATTGGCGCATTCGGAAATCATTGCATCTATTGTTTACAGCTTTTTTCATATTGGCTGTGGCTGGTCATTGGGGATTCAAGAACTGCATTTTGGCAAGAATGGCGAGCAGATCGGTTCTCGACTTGCAACTACCGTTAACGCTCAGTATGGAGCAATGCCACTGCATCCTCTCACTCTTTCGAGGAGGGGATATTCTTCGCCTTTTGAATCCGGACCATCAAGAGGCGAGTCTCACGAGGAACTGACAGAGCCGTCCATATTACACCAAGAACCGCCAACCTCCATTTCCTATTCCCACCCGTATCTCTTGACTTCGCATGCAGACAATACATTGACAGTGTATCTTGTCGTTTCCACTGGTGCAAAACTTTTCGTCAAGGGAGGTCAGAGGCTCTGGGGTCATACATCATCAGTAGCTGCAGTGCAAGTGAGCGACCGTGGGAAGGCGATTTCTGTGAGCTCTCGTGGCGACGAAATTAGAGTGTGGGAACTTGAGAGTCTGATTCCCTCACTTGGGTCTTCAAAGGCAGCAAGGGAGGAGAACAGCATCCAGATCAATCCTGAGAACAAGCCATGCAAAATTCATGAGTGCGGGCCCCTCCTGGCAGGTTTTCTTGCCTGCCAGCTTTGCGGGCCACAGTTGGCCTCTGGGCAGATGTCTCGTGAATACACTCAGATGGGAGATTGTGTTGGGTTTGATGATGAGCGTCTGCTTCTTTCCAGTCGAAAGGAAACTGGGACACACTTGATAGAAATGTATGATTTCACATGAATTGGTTGAGCAATGTTAAATCATCAGCCAAGTCAGGCACCCTTGGTAAACAATGGAACTCCCTAATGACAGCACCGGGATTTTATTCGAAAATGGCCTTAGCTTTCAGAAAGGGCTTCTTATCAATACAAGTTTCTTGAAACACTCTTATGACATTGTAGGTGGAGAGTAGCGCAGAGCTGGTGTGCTGTTATTGCGGATCATTCAATAGGTTGAGGACCTTGTAGGCAACATTAAAGGCAAATGTTATATTCCACAGAGGTCCTTATTTTGTAAAAAAGAAAAATCACACAGCTACCGTGCTCAATCTCTCTCATCTCATTTTTCCATTCTCAATCTGTATACACAGATGACACTGTGTATACATCAATCGCTCGCCTCATCTCCTCGCTCCTTGTTAGGGCCAGCTTCGAGGACTGCACATACCGATCTTTCGACTCTTGGTTCTTACAATAATGAAGACTGCTAGCGCGATTATTTGTTTGCTGATTCGAAGAACTCTCTGGATATACAAAATGCATCATGATGAGTATTCAGTCCAAGCATAACGATCAGTCACGTTGCTACTCATTCAGAACCAGGAATTGCTCCAGACCTCTTCGAGGAGGCGTTGTCCACGCGCCTTACCGTGCCAAACAAGATACCCACGGTTCATTCTTGTCACATGGTCGCTCGAGAATTATTGGAATACCCTCCTTCTGATTCTTAACGAAGACCCTGTCTTTTGGATCTGAGAGGAGCCATCGTGCAATGTGGGGTCTTCAAGCGAAGCTGACTCCCAGTTAAAAGTCTAGCCAGGAACCAAGGACGGGAAGCACTCTTTTCCACCCCGCAGCAGCTAGCATATCTCTTTTGCTACCACCATTCTTATTATTATAATAATAATTTTTTCAAAAAAAAAAAATTTCCCCTGCGAAACACAATCAATCAATCTCTGATTGCCCTCTCTCTCTCTTTTTTGAAGAAAAAAAGGAAGTCAATACAACAAACTCACTCTTCTTATCTTCGCCCACATATCATCAAAAATGGAATATCAAGCTGGAGGTCGTGGATGCTTCAACTGTGAGTCTTTGCAAATTTAACAAGAAAATCTCTGCGATCGTCAATTTGTGCGTACTGCGCTCTCACCCAACTCTATCTCATTGTCTATGCTTCCCTATCATTGTGCTGTTCGCATCAATCGCTTTTATTTTTCCAAAGAAGTCGCTGGTCGTACCAGCCTCTACTGATACATTTATTGTCTCCTCACCCGTGTTCTTTCCTTGAGTTTTGCTATAGTGCGCAATCTTAGAATCTTGGGCATTTGTTCTAAAAAATGGACCTTGAGAAGTATGATAGACTAACGATCGTACTTCATAGGTGGCGATGCCTCGCATCAGGTAAGAATTCACCCAGTTCACCAACAACATGGGTGTTGCATTTTCAGCCCTTTCAGCAACTATACAGAAGAAGAGAGACTCATCCTGTTAGGCTCGCGATTGTCCTAAGAAGGGAACTCCTACTTGGTACGCGCCTCCTCCCCCGTCATAAACAGACAATGTCTAATACTTCTTTTGCCAGCTATAACTGTGGTGGTATGTCATCACTCCTGCATGAACGTTTCAACCTTTTTTCTTTGGGCAAAGACATTTCTAATGACATCGAGCAACAATAGGCCAGGGCCATGTCAGTAAGTTGATCTTCATATGCCATCTAGACTGATGGATAATTGGTTGACCGATGACATTCCCTTCCTTTAGGCCGCGAGTGTACAGTAGCCCCCAAGGAGAAGTCGTGCTACCGCTGCGGTGTTGCTGGACATATTTCTCGCGAGTGTCCCCAGGCTGGTTCGGGCGATAACTACAATGGTGCTGCCAGCGGCGGCCAAGAATGCTACAAATGCGGTCAAGTCGGTCATATCGCACGCAATTGCTCTCAGGGCGGCAACTATGGAGGCGGTTTCGGCGGTCACGGAGGATACGGCGGTCGCCAGCAAACTTGCTACTCGTGTGGTGGCTTTGGCCACATGGCCCGCGATTGCACTCATGGTCAGAAGTGCTACAACTGTGAGTTTCCTGTCAATCTTCTCCTTGCACTTGTTGAGTAACAATGATCATAGGTGGAGATGTCGGACATGTATCCCGCGACTGCCCCACTGAAGCCAAGGGTGAAAGAGTTTGCTACAAGTGCAAGCAACCTGGACACGTCCAGGCCGCTTGCCCTAACAACTAGTTGACACATATCTCGGGTCATCTGTCTTCAATATCGCGTTAGTACACACAGAATCATTGATCGGAGATATCATCCTGGCCTGTCCGAGAATCTCGGGTGGTGCGAAGTCTCCCTCTATGGTGAGGTTGCGACCTCGCTCACCAATATGGTTGCCGGCTTCTCCGTCTTTCCTGGCCTTCGGCCGGCATTATGTCGAGTTGATGTTCACCCTGCGCCGAATCGCTCTATCGGTTTTTTTATCCCTCAGTTACAGGCAGGGAGAGGTCTCCTAAGAAATTAACAAGGGCTAAGGTTGCAGGTGGACAAAGTGTGATGGACTCATTGGTGTGATGCAGAAGATCAAGAAAATACCCATAGCTTTGTAGCTTTTAAAAGCAATCTTACTTTCACGATTTAAAATCTTTAAAAAAAAAGTCTCCTCTATCTGACCCGTCCGTCCACATGACCAGTATGATCCACGACTGACCTTTCTAATTAAATTCAAATAGAGTCGGAGTAGGTGCTGATTGGGCTGTGTATTGGAAGTCATTTAAATAGTGTATGCTTTCAAAGGGCTTAAGACGGTGGTGCCCAGTGGTGACAATGACCAGCTATATGGTGCAGTCAAAACTGATCTCAGTTATGGTCTTCAAGATGGGTTGTGATTCCTGTCCCAGCAAGTGGTTTCGTGAATACAAAAGAGGCAACATGCATGTACCCGAATGATGCAACAGGGTCGTGAACATGTCCATGATCAAGCATATCTTATGGTGTGCAGTAGAAAACCTCCCGACTACTATCTAATGCGGATGCCAGCAGTGCTTGTCAAAAACTCGAATTTTATGGATAGCGTGCGTCTCACGAGCTGCAGCTACACATCAGGGCTCTCTTGTATCTGGGCACATCGCCGCAAAAGCGTTCCTCTTCATCTTTGTCAAGGCCCCATGAATTTCTGAAAGGGTCGAGAGCCATTTGCATGACACGGTCAAGAATTTTTCGATCTCCTCGTTTCTCTACACGTTCAATGACTTCATCGAGAATCCATCCGCGAGGTATGAACTATAGCATGACACGTCAGCGAGGCACATGAGTCTATACGATGGAGAGGGTTTGAGCAAGGTACATGAAGCATAAAATGAACAAACTTGAAGTGAGGACAAAGAGACACTTGAGACTCACCTTCGGGTTGACTGCATTCATATCTTTCTGTCGGTCTGCGTCGTTTTCGATGCCCCAATCTTCAAGGATTCGAGTTCTCCAAGCCGCGAGCCACTTGGCTATGCGCTCTTTTGCAGACTCTTCTGTGTAGCCAATACCGCCGAACCCTTCATTGTGAAAGAAGATGGGTGCTGTGTCCATTCGTTGCTGGTCGGTCTCGATATCAGCAAGCGCTACGTTAGAGAGTCGCCTGAAAAAGTGATTGAAATCAAGCTCTAGAGCTTCCAATGTATCCAAAATCTCCGAAAACAGCTCCTGGAAATCAGACTCCTTTTGGGTCTTCAATCCTAGCCTGCGACTCATCAAGCGTTTATATTCGTTCAGAAACACGCTCCTGTATTCATCACCGGTCCGTTCAATGATGGCCTCAGCGCGTTTCACAACAGGTGGTGCGGTTTCCTCGGTCAAACCATCTTTCAAGAACCACTCTTCATCGACCTTGTCCCCGGCACCAATTAATTCCCCCAGCGCCTCTCCGAGTCGAACCAGGTTCCACCAGATGATAGTTGGTTGATTCTTGTAAGAGTATCTCAATAGGTGGTCGTCATGGTTTGGAGTATACTGTGGGTCAAAATTGTCCATAAAGGCAAATGGGCCAAAATCGAGAGATAGTCCGAAGATCGAGGTGTTATCCGTGTTAAGTACGCCATTCATGAAACCATACGCTTGCCAGGCAGCTACGGTCTTCGCGTTGCGACGCACTATCTCACGGTATAGTCGTGCAAATCTATTTTCCGTTACACCCTGGTGTTCCTGCGCATGGTCTCGGGGAATGCCTCGGGCAGGATTATCGATGGCGTCTGTGGAATGGCCCCGGCCTAAGGATACAACACCCGGCAGGGTTTCCCATCCTCCAAAAACGTCCTCGGCGGTAAACGTCGCTAGCTTCCTGATGAGATCTCGGTCCCCACGAGAATGCGGCAGATCAAAGCTCCCAACTCTGAGCCAAGTCTCGGCGAATCGAGCAACGATAGCACCAGGCTCAATGCGCTCACGCAGAACTTTTGACTTTGGAAGTAGAGTGATTGCCAAAGCTCGAGTGCTTGGCACACCAAGAGCAGATAACGCTAGGAAAACCATGAGCTATAATTGCGAGTTCACGAATATATAACCGCTTACCTTCTGACACAACGTACTCGCGGATGCTCGACCGAAGAACAGCCTTGCCATCAGCGAAGCGTGAATATGGCGTCTTTCCCGCGCCCTTCAATTGTAGTTCAAATCGGCGTTTCGTTTGAGGATTGATGCACTCGAACAGGCTAATCGCTCGCTGATATAGGTCAATTTCTCTGACTGGAAGCTCTTTTTGCAGAATACAGAGCTTACTCCATCACCAAGTTGCCCGGCCCAGGAGCCACTGTGCCCAGTCAACACTATCCAAAAATCCAATTACAAATCATACAACGTACAATTGCCATCCTACACCTCATTAACAACGCTTCTTATGATTTCGAGCCGCGAATTCGTCATACCTCCATAGCACTGAGCCCACGGGTAAATTCCTCCATTTTTTGCGTTCCAGCAGATCTCATTTCCAGATACTAACGCTTGAAATTGAGGCGTAAGTTCCTCGCCCATTTTCAGACCAAGATCATTCATCGCTTTAGGGCTGACGCTCAAGAGCTCAGTCTCCTCTGCTGGCTCCGGCCGAACAAATGTGTATAGAGCTCCTTTCACCAAACGCGGACCAAGAGTCTCTCTGGGCGCGTTGTGGGAAGACTCCGGGTTCTCGAAAGCAGGATCTGGAGGGAGTCTTGTTGTGAACACATTGGATTTCGGAAGTTCCGCAAGAGAAACTCCTGCTGTGCTAGTCGATAATTGGGTTGCCATTTGGCCCAGACGATATCGCATAGACCTTAATCGGCTGAGTCTGCTCCGCAAAGACATATAACAGCGTCTTTACTCTGTGTACTCTGTGTACTCTGTGAAGAGAAAAGTGAGATTGTCTCCGATAGAAATAATGATGAGAGGCTTTAAGATGCAGTATGATGCGATCAATTAAAATCCTAGATGACTGAACCCTACTGCGAAAATGATTTGCGGGAATGACAAGCAGCATGATTACTGCATAACTACGTGAACCACCCCGCAGAGGGCTGTTGTGTGTGGAGTCTCCAATTCCTACCTTAGTACCTACCTAGTAATGTAAGGTATGATTTATTTATTTTACTCCGTACGGCCCAAGGTAAGATACCTTAGCCATGTAAATACAGGGATACATCTTAAGGTACCTTAGTATCAAGCTTAGTACCTTAGGTACCTTACTCTGTTGTATCTTTAGTAATCTCCAGACAGGTAGTTATCTAGTATGTAATAGTTTAGAGTTGCTAAAGGACAAGCTTTCTTTGATATTCTTCATTAATTGCAAATGCTACGGAGTGAGAATGTATAACAGCACGTAATGCTATTGTTAGAGCTTCGTATAAACCCTTAACACTTCGCTCACTGCATACTAATTGAAGCCATCCTACACTGTTTATTGAGAGTTGTGTAGAATTACTCTTCTTGGTTTTACCTTTCCTCTCTGCGTCTTCAGCCTGCCGTTTACCTTCAAGCTTAATACTTAGTCCACCTCCAGCATTTGTCTCCATTACATCGAATGCCCAAGGCGGGATTTCTCTGGATATAAGTTCGATGGTGTCACTGGATAGTGTACAGAGATATTCCTCTCCATGTCCGGCTATAACCCAGAAAAATAACCTTGATTGAGTAATATTAACATATATTATTTCTACTTGATCTGGGGTCAATAGTCCTGTGAAATATAGGGAGTCGAGTATATATGGTGTCCATCTTCCCTTGATTTCGACTACTCTATTGACGCAGTTATAGCCGCAGATGATTTCTCCAAGTTATATAAGGTGTATCTCTGTGATATTTATTGGACCGCAGCTAGACTTATTCCTTGTAAGTTAGGCCACATACCTGCAATGTCAGGCTGCATCAAATTAGCAGAGACAGAGACAATTCTGGTTATACACCATGCTCCTATATTCCAGGTACGTCTCCATTCTCGATCTATTGCAATTCTCATCTGTCATACCTAGATATTCTGCAGCACTTATAAGTATAGCTACTTGAGTATCCGTAAGAGTAGTAGGAGTCTTTCTGAACAACTGTACCTCGTCATAGGTCGAGAGATGCGTGGAATAAAAGACGGTAAAGGTAGGTATATCTGCAGAAGCATTTAATGTTGGTAATTTATCTCTTATCCAACCAAACACTAGAAGAATACTATATCATCTTTAAGACTAAAACAACTTATTATAACCAAGGTACTGAGTACTTTCTTTTTAAATCATCAACTCCGTTGCACAATGTACATATAAGAATTACGATTTTAGTGACATTAACGTTTTTATCGACTCTCATTATGCTATGAAATGTGTCACTGTGTGGTGTCTCTGTAGAAAGATTTAAGTAATGAAAAGAACTCCATGCACTGTAACCGGATACCCTGCAGATGAGATCCCCTAGCCTTATATAGAGAATTTATTTCCATACTGTACGTATACTAAGATAACACGCAGAAAGAATGGAAATCAGTATGATTTATTGTTATCATTACTAGCGCCTCTGGTAGTTATAGTTAGTTAACTACCTTAGTTAACTTAGTTGTTACTGCTGGACATCATCAATAGTTAGTTATCTTATGTCCCTCAATGTCATCATTGTTCTTTGTTGGTATGGATACTTGACTCCTTGATCACTGACTATTGACTAGCAAGAAGGTCATGAATACTCCGCAAGTCACGTAATTAAGCCGTACCCACCTACTCTTGAATCTTGATGGAATTATCATTATCTGGTATCACATCAATCCAAAGAAGGATTGCGAATGATCGAGTGTATATTTTATAATCAACAATATATTGGTACTTCTCGCTAAGACTAGGGGTACACATTGATGTGCTTGAGTATTCGTTAATATTTTATCTTTAGTCAACTACTCTCCAGCCAGCTGTTCGCAATCGATTGATAGAGAGGTATTCAGTTTTCTTGGAGCACATACCTCTCTACGTTGTCTCAAAGGGTATGGCTCAATCGTCTGCGGAAATCCCAAGTGTGGAGCTGAATGACGGCGTTAAAATTCCGATTGTAAGTATTCTCCATCGGCTCGTCTCCGCTGCTTTCCACAGTGGAAATCCCCTTGTCGGATTTGTTAATCTAATTCTCCTTATGCCAGCTTGGGTATGGTACTGGCACTGCCTGGTTCAAAGAACGCGGGGCGACAGGCATTGATCGAGACTTAGTTGAGTCGATCAAAACTGCAATCAAGCTAGGATATCACCACTTGGATGGCGCGGAAGTCTATGGTACCGAACCAGAGATAGGACTGGCCATCAAAGAGAGTGGCATCCCACGGGAGCAATTTTTTGTGACAACCAAGGTGATCACGAATATTGCGGACATCCCCAGAGCGATAGATGCAAGCTTGGAGAAACTCCAACTCAGCTATGTGGACCTGTAAGTCGCGCACGTTATCCTCACTGTACACGACTTTGCGTCGACCTACGAGACTGATACGCTCTATTGCACCTTGCAGATATCTGATCCATTCCCCATTCTTCGCCAAATCGGACAATGAGTTGCAAGAAGCCTGGGCTGCCATGGAGAAGGTCAAGGCCGCTGGGAAGGCTAGGTCTATTGGTGTCTCCAATTTCCTGCAAAGTCATCTAGAGGCAATACTCAAATCTGCCAAGGTCACTCCGTCGATCAACCAGATTGAGTACCACCCATATCTACAGCATGGTGGCCTTGTTCCGTTCCAGGGAGAAAAGGGAATCAAGACAGCGAGCTACGGGCCTCTTACGCCCATTACTCGAGCAAAAGATGGACCCCTCGGGGAGCTACTGCAAAGTCTCGCCTACAAATATGGAGTTAGTGAAGGCGAGATCCTACTGAGGTGGTCCATAGACCGGGGGCATATTTCAATTACGACAAGCAGCAAGGAGTCTCGTCTCAGCAGCTATTTGCGTGCGTTGTTCTTCCGACTGACGCCCAAAGAATTAGACGAAATTTCCGCTATCGGACGTCAAAAGCATTACCGAGCATTTTGGAGGGATCAATTCGCGAATGATGATCGTTCTTGATTTAACGTGTAGCGACAGCCAGGAGCCTCTCTTCTTCACTGCTCGAGGCAATTACGGCCCGGCTTTTAGGGTATGTACCTGCGATTTGAGGTCTACTTTTGTTGACCCGAGGGCATACGGTCTGATGTGCGCTCAAGGCTGCGGTGTCCCGCTGAGGCATACTTACGTTGACACTATATCTATTATAATGAGGATCGTGATAAAAATAAAATAAATAAAATAAAAACACACACGAGGACCTCGAGCGCACTTCGGAGCAAAGCAGAGCATATTATTGTCTCCACGCATTCATAGGTTTCAATGAGGCCATCTTTATCATCTCGGCGATGTGATCAGTAGCTTCAGAGACATTGAAGTTCCTCTCATATACTGCCAAGCATCTCCGCACCAGGCCCAACCCAAGGTAGCTCAGCAACGCTGGCGATCATCATCGTTTGAGGAACTACTCTGCCCTCCAATGCCAACCCTTTGTGCCCTCAAATTTGACCTCGATTAGCGAGTGCATCGGGAGCATTATCCATGGCTCTGGGAGTCTAAAATTACTTTTGGCGCGGCATACAGCGTTGCTTGCCAATACAAGTCCGTTTAGATAGCGTTCCCACGCGTTAATCATGCTGGGCTAAGCTCCTTCCGCTCGTGCTGACCCTGGGAACACAGGAGATTGTCTTCGGGCGCATTCGTCTGGGTCGACGGCATCGGTGAGTGCTTGTCCTGTGAATCGCGTTTTCCCTTCAAGCTAGAGTCGCAACCCCCATCGTCACACAAGGTTAGCAACAGTTGGACCCAGCCGACAAGACTGAGTGTCGTTTTAGCTTCCTAACGCATTACCCGAATTCGAAACGGGAGATTAACCTTTCTATGCCCTTCTATCTTTAGGCCGCGAGTTTTCCTAAGTGCGATTTCCGAAGAGAAAGGCTCAGAGTGTTTAGCGCCCTCTATAAGACGCTTCAAGAAAGACAAGAAGCAAGCCGAAACTCAAACAATATTGTCTTCGTCTAGGTCTCGTGCCATCCTTGCACGCAATACATGATTAATTGAGGGACTGCAATGTCGGTGAATCGTCGACTTACTCCTTCCGTGGACGATGATATGAGCAATTCCAAGTCTGCGCTAGAGCAAACGTCTGCGCTAGAAATAATCTCAGTCGATAAACGACTGGAACGCCTTAAGCAAGAGGTCCTTCCTTTTTATCCTTTCTTGCTCACGCTTCCCACCGATGTGCCTTTCCGTCCTGGTGCCCGATTTATCAACAACTGGGCAGTGGGTGATGACGGGCCTTTCACTCCAGACGAACAAGAACTACAGTACATGACATTTTTGACTCACCAAGACGGTGACTCTTTATTAGTGGCCGTGGGAGATTGGTCAGACGCAACAGGGAACATTATGTCAGACAAGCGCTCAGGGCCTCAAAGTGCGGCAAGCACGCCCTCAGCTGGGTCGTTGAAGAAGAAGATCAGCTTGAATGATTACAGGAATAGGAGAAAGAGCGGCGCTTCAGTCTCGCCTATCAATCAAGAGCCTGTTACACAGACTTCAGCTCCCCATACCTCCGAAGACAAGCGATCAGGGATGAAGGCCACTACGTCCGTGGACCATTCTGGAATACGATCACACAACTCACTATCGACGAAGTCATCAGTCAGATACGTACCCGAGAGTGTAGGGCGTAAACGGCCACCAGAGCTCGGTCATGTGCATCTAGGGTCACATGAAGGGGAGCAGGCAGATGTAGTTTCTTCAAAGAAAGCGAAGCTTTCGCCCACGATGATCGAGAGCAAGAGTTCTGAGCCCTCGAAGACCAACGGGCTGCCTGATCTACTATCACCAACTTTACCGCCCACTTCAGACAGCCCGAGATTACCCAGGCTATTGTCACCAACTCTTCCACCTGATATTGAAAAGGAGCTAGCGAGACTTGATGAAAGCCGCTCAATGTCAAGCTCGTTCAAATTACTAAAGCATCTTGATTCTGCACCGTCGAAGGGGAGTTTACAGAACCCGAAGCCGCAGGACCACAGCAGACTGCAGCCATACGCAACGAGTGGACCTAGCTTGCATGGTAGAAGCCTGAACTCAACGGCCGATAAATGCATAGCTACTCCTATAGATTCTAGGGGCTCTGATTTCGGTGACGCACCAAATCTTGACTTACAATCTCTTAGAGGTGATCAAACGCCACCATCCACAGATACCAAAGAAAGTATGGCATTGAAGCCACGGCTGGTGGTAAAACTGAAATATGGAAGATCGAATAGGAAGCGCATCGAGGCTCTCTTGAAATTTTCTGCCAAGAGGAAAGCAGCTCTCACATCTTCACTCAATAACCAGCAAGGGGATTCCGAGAAAGCCCGAATGCCCAAAGCTCAGCTTAACGAATCCAATACTTCCGCACTCGAGTATACCAGCCACAAACTCCACCGGCTGGAGGGTACAGTCAAGGATACGGTTAACATGGACACAAGTACTTCAACGAAAGAACGATCGAAGGAGCCCAGGGCGCCAACCCCAGAAAAGTCCCGACTTCCTACGTCCCCTACCCTAGACTCTATATCAAATCAATCGAAGAACTTTGCGAGGTCTCCGACCAAGGATGCGAAGAACTCTGCTGCTCGTATCGAGACCTTCCATAGCGCGGGGAAGTCGGCGTCCCATCATTGCACCAAAGATCAACTGGGAAGCCGGGTGAACTCTTCGAAGTCAGCATCGGCGGATTCCGAAAATCCTGTGTCTCGGTCCCGAAACTCTGACCGTCGAGCTTGGAAGGACGAATACCAGAGACTTGGAAACTTGGGTAGGGAATTGAAGCATGCTGCAGAGAGGCATACCAACAAAGATGCGGTGACTGCTGCTGATGAAAAACTTGCAGTTGTGACGGCGATAGAGGCTGTCCTTTGTTTCATTCTCGCATTTGTTGCTGATGATCAGTCTAAAGCTTTGGCCCGTCAAGTTGGCGACTCATCGACCTGGATATCTATACTCGCCTATTGGCGTGTTGTGAAAAAGAACAGTGTCCCTTACCCGAGACTCCACAGTCTCTGTTTGATTCTCGGTGCTGTGTCTTACGATGCGATTCACGCTCTCGACTTGGAACGCCTCGCAGTTACTCCATTGCCAGGAGATCATACTCCTGTGCCCACACCAGGAAGTGACGGCACAACTGTTACGTCGGACGAGAACAAGAAGAATCGAAAAGATATCATTGAGTTAAAAAACCGATTACCTGATTTTTACAAAGAGTCCCAGAGACTGTGGCTCGAGGGCTTGCAAGGCCTCTCAGAAGATATTCTTGCCCGTGAATTTCCTGACACCTGGTCTAGACGCTCAAGAAGATATTCCCATCTAGGAAAGCAGAAGCTCAAGATCGGAGACTATACTGGGGAGTTTCTTTTTCCACCTGGGAAGACATCAGCACCTGTGGAAACTGTTCGGTTTGGGTGTGCGATTCTAAGAGAATGGTGTATGAAAGAAGGCGTGACTTGGAGCTGCCGACTGGATTTATGACCAGACGACAGATTATTATGCTATGACTGCTGTTCTTGCAAACCTTGATTATTGTTTCCTTCCTGAATTTCTGTTGGTTTTTTCTGGTTTGTCAGTCGGTCAATTCAAGCTAGCGGGCGTTAAACGAGTCTGTCTTCTGTTTGCCGTCGTGCCGTGATACCACAGTTTCGAGTCTTTCCACCAGAATTAGACAAGTGATAGCACAATTTTATAGGTTCCCGAGATTATGACATGCGACTACCCTATCTGGTATAACAAAATAGGTAGATTTAATGGATGGGAATACTCAAATGATGAGTAGTCTAGTGTATGCAGATTATCGCGGCCTCACTGAAATATGGCACCTACGAAAACGTCGCGCGAAAAGAAAAGGTGGAAACTTGGTAATTCAAAAGAGAAGATGCAAATGTAAGCACTTACGATGTGACGCAAAATTCAAATCATTGAATAATTGCAATGGTCTCAGATGAAAAGAGTATGAAAATAAAGATCCGAACGTCATGACATAGAACCATCTTACTCATATCGGCGTTGAGAACGAGGCCCATTAGAAGGGCTGAATTCGAATGTGGATTGAGCGATCGAATGTTCAGCTATGGATATAAAGGACTTGTCCAGAATGCTTACGGCTCAGACTGGTGTGCATGGGTTGCATGTCGAAGGTCATTCGCCAAATGTTCACCGAAAAGCCAGCCAGCTTCGCGGCAATACCGAGCTTCTCCACCACGAGTACCAACTTCACTACTCCAGCAGATGAACGAGGCATCGACAATATCTGCGATGACGCCTTCAGCCGCTCCTAGGATGCTCCACCCGATGATTCCTGCAATGAGTCCGACCACATAGGCATACATACTGCCATGAACTCCATTACCCGGCCTGGCGACCTCGAGGTTCCGAGCAGCGCTTACCCATCCTCCAAAACCGAGTGCCAAAGACATCATGAAGCGAGCGGCGTGGAGAAAGAGCTTCGAAAGGCGGTAGGAGAGGAGCGGTGCAGAACCCGCATGGGACCAAGAAGACGACCTCGGATGGAGTGACGACACTGCCGTCGCAAGTGAGACATTCGGCATTTCGAGGAGGCCACGAGCAGATAGTATGAGCGGTTGAGAATGAATAGCGGCGTAAGTGAGAGCAAGAGGGTCTGTGAGCGCCGCGAGGGGAGAAGGAACGAGTGAGTACACGAAAAAATTCAGAAGCCGAGATAGGCGAGTTGGCAGCAATAGAAGCGGCAGCCGAGTAGATAATGCTATCAGCTTAGAGAAACAGACTGTGCCAAACAACGTGGTGACAGAATGGACAAAAGCTGCCTGTACTATCTGCCTAGACGTGGGTTTCGGGTTCGCGAGACGGTGAAAGTACCACTGACTCACTGTTGCAGCTGTAACTGAACGTTGGATACCGGCGATGACCCCCAATGACCAGATGTAAACGAAGACATAATAGGTTCCCAGCCACCAGCTGCTGATGTTGAGGGCGAAAGCGTGCGATTCTGA